TCTTGCTATCAGAGTTCCACTGAATTTAAACTCAAGACCTCCCTTTCTAGGTGTGTAGTCCTTCTCCCTGCTTCCTAGCTCAGAGGGCATTTTGTAGAATATCAAGAATATGTTGCGTGCTATATTTTTGAAAGTATTTTTATATAAGATTGATTTGCCATAATACTGAACACATAAATGTTGCCCTTGGTTCTTTAGAGAAGGATAAGGTGGATGTGATAGAGGGAGAGGGGAAAATAGAAGCAGATCAGAAGCTGGAGACCTAATCCCTTTGCTATTCTGCCAAGATCATTAAACTTTTGACTTGGGAGCACTTAGTAAAGGAAGACGTTATTAAAAGTCAACATAAATTCAAAGAAAACAAACCAAATTAACTCATGTCCTATTTTGATAGGTTTATTAGGCAAGTAGTGAACATAATGTAATAAGATAAGAACATGTAATATTGATAATGGTACAAATAAGGAGATTGAACAGCCACACTCAAGTAATTTAAATATTTCCCACTGCTGCTGTCCTTGATGCTGGCCTTTAAACAGCACTTATTTACAGGAAGGGGCCCTGGTAGCAAGGTGGTTAAGAGCTCAGCTGCTAACCGAAAGGTCAGCAGTTTGAATCTACCAGCAGCTCCTTGGAAACCCTATGGGGCAGTTCTACTCTGTCCTATAGGGTCCCTATGAGTTGGAATTGACTTGACGGCAATGGGTTTGGGTTTTTTTTTTTTTTTTTGGTATTTACAGGAATTGTAGAAAGTATATTAATCAAGTGTGTGGAAGACTGGAAATTGGAAAGAGGAAGTTAACACACTAGATAACTGTTACAATTTGAAAATACTTCAATTAGCTGTAAAAAAAAAACCCTAACATATTCATATTAAGCATAATAAATTGAGTATGGATGCATCAGTGATGAGATTGGTATTCTCTATTTCCTCACTCTTTGGCCCTAAACTTTTAATATCAGCCAGAAATATTGACAGATCTCTCTTTAAAAAATACTTTTGATTATCCCAAACATGTAATCTATGACAAAGATGGGATTCAGAATTTCGTAGCCCTGTACAACAATTTGGTCAAGACTTTTATTTAAATCAGATATATCATCTATAATTTAAAGAATTTAGCAAAGCTTTCTCCACACACACACGCACACACACTTACACGTAAGCATTTCCCCTAATCAAGATGGCTGCAGCAGATTTTTTGACCACGTATATCCACAGCCTTCTTGGAATAATGAATGTAGCTTCCCTTAATCTCCACAGATGTGTGCCCAAGATGTGTAGCCATATGTATCTTACTGTTTCTGTGCATCTTTCAGCTACTCTAAGTTCCAGGATGTGTTCTCAAAAGTATTCATAAGCTGCCAGTACTACCTGGAGGTTTTAGGATTTTAACAAATGTCCACATTTTCATTTACATAGAATGATAATTATTTTTCTTTGATATTCTTTCCCAAAATAATTTGAAAGAGTTCTAATTCTTTTATCCTTTTCCAGATTAAAAAAATAAGTTTTTTTAAACAACTGTGGTGAACGAGGGGAGACTTTTTAACACTATGTGCTAATAACTTCTAAAGGCTCTAAGCATCTTGTTTTATTTAGTTTCATATTAAATTATGCTGTTCTAATAAAAGGCAACAGCTAATCTCCAATATAGAGCAAAAGGCATATATAATGTACTCAGACAGAATGTGGATTTGCTTCATACAATAAAATTTCTTAGAGATAAACATTTCTTTTGAATAAGTCATATGAGCTTGGTGGCTGATCAGGGAATTTCCTGTTTAATCATCTTTTGAATATTGGCTGATGATTTCATTCAGTCTATGACTGATTCTGTGCAACAACTCTTTTGAGTGATTTATTTACTAGATTGAAAAAATGATTTTCTATCACATATAAATAGCCTTTTATAGACAGATAGCAATCTCAAGTATTTAGTGTGTTAAAATATTATTAGAAAATATCAAACTCATTCAGATATTTTGATTATCACTGTTTTACATTTTTAAAAAGTGCTCAACTCCATTTCTGAATCTCGTATTAGTAGCTAGTAATGCTCAATCAATCAACAAGTAGCAAGTGTCCCATTCAACTATGTGCCTAATATTATGCTATATCTGTAGTGTGTAGATATATGAAAGATATATTTATTCTGACAAATATTTCAACACCTGTGATGTTTCAGTTATCTACAGGAGTGAAGTACATCCCTATAATATACAAAGATAAATAAAACACTAAGAGACTGCAACATATGAAGCCAAGTATAGAAAATATCAGTAACATAAAGTAGAATTTACTAAATAGAGAGATAACAAATGAGTCAGCATAGTAGAGTGCTTTTGATCATAGTGTTTGAAGTCAGGCTGCACTGGTCTGAATACCTGTTTTATCATTTACTTATTTTATACCTTGAGTCACAGTCATATCATCATCTATAAACTGGGTGATGTTTAAATGACAAGATGTTTTAAAAAATAGCAGTGGCCTGATATATAGTAAGTACTTAAAAGTTATCTGTTATCATTAGTTTCACAAAATAGATGCAAACAAAATGCTTTTGGCCATTGTCATGGATTGAACTGTGTCCCCCAAAAGTATCTGTCAACTTGGCTAGGTCATGATTCCCAGTATTGTATGATTGTCTGCCATTTTGTCATCTGGTGTGATTTCCCTATGTGTTGTAAATCCTATCACTATTATGTAATAAGATGGTTTAGTGGCAGTTGTACTGATAAGGTCTACAAGATTACATAGTTTTTTAGGCCAATTTCTTTTGAGATATAAAAGAGAGAAGTAAGCAGAGAGACATGGGGATCTCATACTACCAAGAAAGCAGTGCCCGGAGCAGAGTGTGTCTTTGGACCTGAGGTTCCTGCACTGAGATGCTCCCAGACCAAGGGAAGACTGATGACAAGGACCTTCCTTCAGAGTCGACACAGAGAGAAAGCCTTCCCCTCGAGCTGGCACCCTGAATTCGGACTTGTAGCCTACTGGACTGAGAGAGAATAAAGTTCTCTTTGTTAAAGCGATCCACTTGAGGTATTTCTGTTATAGTAGCACTAGCTGACTTAGACAGCCATCAAAAAAAAGAAAGAAAGGGGGTGGGGAGGCGTAATTCAGGTAATTGAGATGTCTTTGAAGAATGTAGAGAATTTTTTTTAGGGGAGATATGAAGGAAGGGCATTCCAGACAGAGGACGCAACATAAAATTAGGCCCTTAGAAGTCATTTAAAGTGTATTTAATGTGGAACATGAGTCCTGTGTAGCTAACGTACAAGGTGATTGGAAATAAGCAATAAAATTGATTTGAAAACATATTGGTAGGAAAACTTAAGTGCCAGCCTGGTGAGACTGTACTTAGTTCAATAGATTTTTGAGTCAGGTTAGCAGGAAATTTAGCCTGTATCTTTGTGTCTAGATTAAGACGTCAACATTTTATAGGGTAGACTGGGAAAGGAAGAATGATACGAGGATGAGACATCAAGTAGGCCCTTGCAGCTGCATGAAAAGTAATGGGAAATAAATTGATCATTGTTAAAGATGGTGGTAGACCTGGAAAAAGGATTCAAAAGATATTGCAGATGCTAAACTCAGAAGGCTTGATAGAGATATTGGAGCAGAGAAAAGTTGGAGCGAAACATGACTCTGGAATTTTAAGCCTCAGTGACTGGAAAATCCTAATGCTGTTCACACAACTCAGGAAATCAGAAGGAAGAGCCAGTTTTGTGTTGATGATGATAAATTCAATCTGTGATGAATTTGAGGTACCAATGTCTTGAGTTTGTACGGGCAATTCAGGATGAAGATATTGATTTGGACAGCAAGTGCCCACCCGAAACAGACTGAAGTACAGTTGAAATTATACCTTTAGCACATTGAAAATAGTGAAGACAGTATAAACTTTTCTCTCATCTTACCCTCTGAGAAATGCACAAATGCACTTTATACAATAATGTAAACTTCTTTTCAGTTTGAAAGCTTGTAGTCATGAGTGTATTGTCGTTTAGGGCTCAAATAGAAAAAAAATGAAGTAAAGAGGGATAGTCAAGGTCAGAAAAAGAAGAGCAGAAAATAAAATACCAAAGAGAATATGGAAACATGGTATTAGGTAAGAGTCAAACCTCCTTGAACATGGACCTTGAATTCAGACAAAGAATTCCTTTTTTAAAAATTAAAAACAAAAGCAGACCATCTTGACAGCATACTAATTTGGCAAACATTGTTACATTCTTCTGTTTTGTTTTATGAAACAAAGTGTTTCTTATTGTTGATGAAACATCGCCTCTGCTTCACATACTAAGCACATTTCCAATTAATACGAAGAACAAAGCAATGTGTAACCACATGAAAAAAATCTTCAGCGGTAAATGAAGAAAATTCTACTTCTTAAAAAGTAAAAGAGCATCTAATTTAACTATTAGGTCAACTTGATTAATTAGCATAAATTCAAATGTTTTAATAATGAAATATATTCTTCAAGACTTGGCAGGTGGGTATGCTACCAGGGCACATTTCTGCATGAAGTCTAGATACCAAATACAGTGATATAAATACACAGCATCACAATTTTTTCCCTCTTTCCTAGCAATCTAAAGTTGTCTAATATAAGTGTATTACCCTTTGTTGCTTTTCATTACTTTTGGATCCTTCAAGGTCCAGAACTGTGAAAAAGCCACAACTGAAGAGTGTCATTTCTTTCTCCTGCTCCACAGAAACACTGTTTTTAGATTATCCAGTAGCAAATTCTCTTGATTGCTGTTAATTAGGTTTTGTATTTCTAAGCTAGGTATATATATTGCCCATCTTTTGGAAGAGAGAAATATTTAGCTGTAATTATCATGAAAAGCATATCTACGTGAAGTATAATATCCAAAGCTTCCTAAGTTAACATAATGCAACATTATCTAAAAACAGGGACATTTGTGCTGACATTAATTATTATATGGAAATGTCTTAAAATAAAAACTCTAAGAAATTCAATGTCTCTCTTTAGGATGTAATTGGGAAAGCGCTGAAGTACCTTGGAACATTTGGTGAACTTAGCACCGTAGAGCAAGTTGTGGCCCTGATCGATGAAGAAATGTGTATCAACTGTGGTAAATGCTACATGACCTGCAATGACTCTGGCTACCAGGTAGGAATCCTGCCGTAATTAGCAGAAAGACACCGTGAGGCATGTTTCTGGCTTTTGTGGCAGAACGCATCTAGTGTTGCTAAGTGTATGATATAAAACAGATGTGTCAAAAACTTCTCTTCAACAGTAGCATATCTTTCTGTCTTCTCACCCTCATAGCATGGTATGTTTTTCGTTTGTTGTTTGTTTTTAGGAAAGCTGTAACTATGCCATTGTTCCATGTGCAATCTTATTTTAATATCATTTCATCGCCCATAAAATTGTATGTAGAAATCCAACCTAAAAGACAAAGGTACACAATTATGAGCATTGTTGTTAAATATTGTCAAGTTGATTTTTGACTCATAGCAACCCCACGTGACAGAACAGAACTGCCCATAGGGTTTTCTTGGCTGTAATTTTCACGGAAGCAGATCACGAGGTTTTTCTCCCGCAGAGCCACTGGGTGGGTTCAAACCATTAACCTTTTGGTTAACAGCCGACTGCTTAACCATTAGGCAACCAGGGCTCCTTTTTTATGAACATTAGGAAAGCATTTTGCTTTAACACAGAGGAAAAGGAAAAGAACTACAGTTTCTTACCCTGAAAGAACTGGATTCTTTCTGCCAAAAGAGAATCTGCCATTCAATATTTATTGGGCTTCTTCTCCAGAAAAAAAAGGAAAAGCATTTTCCCACCAACTAGTTGTACAAGTTGGTCCCAGAAAGGCCTTTATGTCTGGCAAAGCCAGAGTATTCCTCCTCATGAAATGATCCATTGATTCTTCCTATAGCTCCTCACCCTTTAGCTGTTAAGGGCCCTCACAGGGCAAGAAGGACAAAGTGGGGACAAGGTTCTCTTCAGGGTGGGCTATCTTGAAAACACATTCTATGAATTTCTCTTTGTGAAAGCATTAAACAGACTTTTAATTTGCTTCTTCAGTTATCTCCTCTGTATTTATAACCTGCTGTTTTTATTACTTTGACTGACTATGACCTTGAACTGGTTGAATTTTAGAAACAAATGAAAACATGATCGTATGCTCATCGTAAATGATGCCTTTAAATATAAGTTTTCCTCAAAGGCCTGGTTTATTGTGGAAGTAAGAGTTGTGTCCCCCACCCCTGGTACAGACTCCCCGGTATGGAAAACAAAATAGAAGTTCACATTAAAATTGCCAAAAACTGTAGAAAAATATTATTTTCATTAATTAAACTTATTACTCATAAAGAAGTAGTAAAGTTAAAATAAGCCCCCTTTAAGAAATCATCAATGACATTTTCTAAATAAATAAAATGCCCCATCTAAAAAATTGAAGTTCATTTACCTTATTCGACCTGGAGATATGCCCCATGTTGCTCATGGTGGGATTCTGCATACTCTGTGACCACCTAATAGTGGTATTAAGAACATATTTTAATTAAAAAAAAAGTCTTTCTCCCGAGTTAATTTGAAACTCAATTTCTATCCAATTCATCGTCTTTTTCTTACTAGGTAAAAAGTATCTCTAACAGTTATTTTGAAATGATAATCATATTATATTCACTTTAGTCTTATCTTTCCTCTAATTAGTCAATCAAAGATAAATCAAGAGGTCCTATAACTAAAATCAAAGTATCATCAGGGTTGTAATATCCTGAATCTTAGAAGTTATGACTCCCACCTTGGAATTCTAGCCTTGGTACAACTTTAGTAATATGATTTATTAGTGAGAAAAATATCATAATAATTCATTTAAAAATTTTGGAAAGTATTTGATTCTTCTATCTAAAAAAAAAATAGAAAATCAAAATGTTCAACTGAATGCTAAGTTGTTTCGCAAATTTTCAAAGTATAAGATTTCTAAGACATAAGTATTGCTTTAATTTTATTCAATCATCTCATTGGATTTCTATTTACAAAAGGATGCCGGAGGAACAGAAATAGTTTTTACCCATCCAAATAGCTATCTGAGGTGTTGTTTACTAAACATGACAGCTACTTATGTGGACAGATTTTCTTAATGTTTGTTATAGCTGCAGTTCTTGTTCAAATGTCATATAAGTGTTTCCTTAATGATCACCCATTTCATTATTCCCACTCTTGAAATATTCCTCTTTAACAGACAAATAATTATTCAAAAGAAATATTTCTTAAGGAAACATTTCTTAAGGAAAATCTCAATCCTAAATTTCACACTAGGTATTTTTATTGCTTCTTATAATTTGCTTCATGTCAAAAAAAAAAGAAGAAGAAATTATCAAGAATTATATTTTTGTTTTGAGAACAAAAGTCAGAGCAGCTTCAACGCTAAAGACCTTCCCCTGGTTCTCACAGCTGAGTAATGTCAGGGCCGGGCCAGGAAGCAAGGTGTCCTGGCTCAGCATTCAATGCTTTTTCCACTGCATGGTGGGACAACGCCTCAAACTGGCGTGGAAATCCTCACAAGTCAAAACCCGCTCTTAAAGCAATTTTTTTCGACTCCTTTCTTCTAAAAACAATATGCATTATTAGAAATCCAAACTAGTGCATTCCTTGCCCCATCTGACGGTGACACTTTTCCACTGTCGAGAACAAGGAGTGTGAGGAGGAGGAGGAGGACGTGGGAAAGCACCTCCATCGTCCGGTGGGAAACAACCCATCCTGATAAGGCTGGAAAGACCTGAGCTCTGCTTGGAACAAAGAAAACTAGAGAATTATTATGTTATGAAATATTTTCCTCACACAATGAAGAAAAATACCTCTAAGGAATTTGAAACATTGTGTTTCTAATTTACAAGGATTTCTTCTCCCTCTCTCTTTCTCTCTCTCTCTTTGTTTCTTCCCCTCCACTCTGGCAGCTCAACTGTTGCTATAGTTGCACCGCAGTGCTGGGCGTAGTTGTCTGGAAGTGCAGCTCTACCACAGTAGAGAAAATGTTGATGCTTAGATGAGGGCATTCTTGACCTTTGTTGTCAGTGACAGCAATGCTCTTTACTTCTGTTTGCAGGCTATACAATTTGATCCAGAAACCCACCTGCCCACCGTTACTGACACTTGTACAGGCTGTACTCTGTGTCTCAGTGTCTGCCCTATTATCGACTGCATCAAAATGGTTTCCAGGACAACACCTTATGAACCAAAGAGAGGCTTACCCTTAGCTGTGAATCCGGTGTGTTAAGGTGATTTGTGAAACAGTGGCTGTGAACTTTGATGCCACCTACATATGCTGATCTTTTCTAATTGTGACCATTATTTTTGGCTTTCTAGATTAAAGAGTATATAATTTCAAAATAAATTTCTAAATAAAAATACATGATTTCTAAATAAATAAATGTATAGTGCCAATGATCATTCAATTAGTGGTCATAAATGTAGTAATTCTTTTCTGAGGACAGTTGTTAAATAATTGTGTAGCAGTTAGTTGGATGTTCATGGTCAGTTGTCCATTGTGAAATATATTAACTTCTCTGTTTTAATTAATGTGACAATTTCCAAATTGCCCTATGCTGTGTTCTGTCTTTGATTTCTAATGGTAAAGGAAATTAAGTATTTTGGAACAAAGTACACTTTAACATACAAAACAATGTTTCCCAGGCAGCATTCTATAATTGAAAATTACATTTAGTTTTAACAGTTTCAAAGAAAGCATATATGAAGCACAGATGAAGAAAGCGCCATAAAAACACAAATGAGGAAAACCAAACAGTTATTTACTACAGCAGGAAAAGAAAGCCTAAAGAAGGGTTTGTAAAACTTTATTAGGGATCCTTAGCTGAAATAGCTTCTTTTTGTGTGCTAGATACTTAAAGCAAGAGTATTTGCTAACCATTCGGATAGCTCTGTGCCATTTACCACTGATTCCTGAGACAGGTGTCCAAACTCACCAATGAATCGACATGACATTCTTCTTTAAATATTTAAACTATGTTCTTAATAAGATAAGTTGTTAGGGTTGAGCTCTGGTTAAAGTCACTCTTCTGCTGTGCACAGATCTGCTCTGTGCGCTTTTAATAGTAACCTTCATGATTACAGCAATTAATGTTCAAACAAAACCCAAATTATACAGTGGGTCACGTGCTCAATTATTCAAGAATGAAAAATAAAGTATCGGTAATATATCTTAAATGTGCAAAACCAATTTGGCTAGTCTTTATTTTACTGTTTATGTTCAACTTCAAACTTAATGGAATAAACAAGAAATACAGATTTTCTGTAACCGCCAAATAATATTTTTCTATTTTTCATGATCAGTAAATAGCATCATATAGGTTCTTTCTCTCTTCTTTGTGGAATATTTTTATCTGAATCTATATAGTAAATCTGTAATTCCTATGCTGTGGCATACTTCTAGGTAAATGTAAAATCTAGAAAAAAAATTTAATTATGCACATGTATCAGAAAATCGGTATGATTGAGTAATATCAAATAAAATTTTATAAAGCATTTTAAATAACATGATCTTTTGTTGCCTCTTTTGCAAATACATTCTCATGTTATAATAGTATCCTCAAAATTCTTGTTTACTTGAGATATGTGAAGGTGACCTTCTTTGGAAATAGGCTCTTTGCAGATGTAATCATGTTAAAATGAGGTCACACTGGATTAGGGTAGGCACTAATCCAACGACCGATGTCTTTATAAGAGGAGAATTTGGACACAGAAACACCACACAGGGAGAATTCTGTTTGACAACACTGGCAAAGATTGGAGTGATGAGTCTACAAGCCAGGGACTCAAAGGCTTGCTGGCAACTACCACAAACTGAGAGAAAGATATGGAACAGATTCTCTTTCAGAGCCTCCCAAAAGGCCAAAAACTTGATTTCAGACGTCTGGCCTCCAATAGTGTGAGAGAATAAATTTTTGTTGTTTCAAGCCATCCAGTTCTTGGTAATTTGTTATAGCAGCCCTGGAAATCTAATACACCTATCCACCATTCAAATTTTGAGGTGGAACAGTATGTGGTTAGTTCTACAGTAAATTCCATTCAAATGTATGTATAATGCTAGTTCAAATTAATGAAGGTGATACCAGTATAATTATTCAAATGTTTCACTTCTTATCCTTCTTAACCAGCTTTCCCAACTGAATTTGATTCTATTCTGCCCAAATGCATCCTTCACTGGGTACCAGCCGAGGTTTCTTGCAATGGCCCATGGGCAGAAACAAAGGGAAAATAGCAGTGTGTCTACCTTGAAGATGCCATCTTCACTATAGGAAGCATCCATGTTTCTTAACATTACTCCTTAATACCAAACCAAACCACTTGCCAGTGAGTTGATTCTGACTCATGGTGACTCTGTGTGTCAGAGGAGAACTGTGCTCCATAGAGTTTTAAATGGTTGATTTTTCAGAAGATCGATCACCAGACCTTTTTCACAAGCTGCCTCTGAGTGGTCTCGAACCGCCAGTCTTTTGTTCACTAGCCAAGCTTGTTAATCTGTTCACCACCCAGGGACTCCACTCCTTACATAGTTGTATGGTATCGATGCTCATTAAACTGGCTCTCTCTTCCCTCTTGTCATGATGGGGAGGGGGCATTTTAACTTTTGGAGTTGGTGACTGCTTAGCTAAGTTCCCCCCAAAAAATAAGTGTGCCAGGGCTACATGGATGCCATAGTAATGTATTACCCCTTGTCATGGATTGAGTTATGTCCCCCAAAAAATGTGTGGGTCATAATTCTCAGTATTGTATGATAGTGTACCATTTCGTAATCTGATGTGATTTTCTTATGTGTTGTAAACTCTATCATTATGATGAGGTTACATATGATTTCCCTATGTGTTATAAATTCAATCACTATCATTTAATAAAATGGATTAGTGGCAGTTATACTGATGAGGTTTACAAGATTGGATAGTGTCTTAAGCCAATCTCCTTTGAGATATAAAAGAGAGATGCGAGGAGAGACACATGGGAACTTCATACCACCAAGAAAGCAGTGCCAGGAGCAGAGCGCGTCCTTTGGACCTGAGATTCCTGTACAGAGAATATTCGAGACCAAGGGAAGACTGATGACATGGACCTTCCTCCAGAGCCGATGGAGAAAGTGTTCCCCCGGAGCTGACACCCTGAATTTGGACTCGTAGCCTACGGGACTGTGAGAGAATCCTTCTCTTTGTTAAAGCCATCCACTTGTGGTATTTCTGTTACAGCAGCACTAGATGACTAAGACACCCCTATCTCAATATGATGAGAAATTTTTACATGTAATGAACTGAGGGAATTCTTCAGCCTTCTGGGGATATTGTGAAAAAATATTATATATATATGTATATATAAAGCCCACTACTGTCAAGCTGATTCGACTCATAGTGACCCCATAGGGTTTCCAAGGCTGTAAATCTCTACAGAAGCAGACTGCAAGATCTTTCTCCCACAGAGCGGCTGTTGGTTTCAAACCACCAACCTTTTAGTTAGCAGTCGATCGCTTTAACCACTGCACCAGCAGGGCTCTCAGCGCTCGGTTAAGAGCTCGGCTGCTAACCAAAAGGTCGGCAGTTTGAATCAACCAGCTGCTGCTTGGAAACCCTATGGGGCAGTTCTCCTCTGTCCTATAGGGTTCCTATGAGTTGCAATCTACCCAAGGACAATGGGTTTTACATATGTATATGTATATACACGTTCATATATGTCTATATATGCCCGAGTCCTTTTCAAGACACTGACCACCAGGCAGAAATTCCCTTAATAGAGATTAAAGAAAAAAGAAGTTTATATCCTTTGCAGCCTGTTCTCATCACAATTTATGGGTATGAGAAAGAGTAGACACAATGCTTTAGCTCTTAACTACTTTGGAGAACTGCAGAGTGGCCAGGTCTTTGAGGTAGGCCATGGCAATCAGTAATTTTACACAAGTTTGTTCCTCACTGAAATTTATTTCTGTTGCATTCACTTTCTGCTTTGCACTAAGAAGCTTTTCTTACCCATGCATTTATAGGAAACATAACTCAATTTTCCATGTGTGGCTTGCAGAGAGACTCAGAATAAGGGAAGAATAAAAATCATATTACTCTGTCCAGCAAGAGACCACCTAACACCCCATTCTCTGGCTCCTCACCTCTAGACATGAGTAGGGGCATAAGACCAGACCAGGCAGGGCTGGGGTCTAACACTGAGCGAATGTTTCTTATGTCTAAGAAAATAAACTGTTTTACATATAGCTCATTTGAATGTTATAATGATCAAAGACAGGTGCTATCGTTTTCTCCCATTTTACAAATGTGGTCACACGTGCTTAAAGAGTGAAAGTAACTGTTCAAGGTCACATAACTATTAGGTGTATTTCTATGTGCTCTTGGTTCTATCCAATATACCATTCTGCTTTCCCCCTTTTGTTCATCAATCTCTTCATTCATTCAGCAAATATTTATCAAACAAATAATATGTACCAAGCACTGGGCTAAGGGATGAGGGTATGAACTCAAATGATGCATGTTCCCTCACTTCGAGGAGCTTGCCAGCTATAGAAGAATTGAATGTATAAGCTATAACAGCACATGTGAGGAGTGCTAGGAAAGCCATCTTTGGAGAAGAAACATCTAAAGCAAACTCCCTTGACGAGACGCTAATTAAGACAAGTTTTGAGCTCATAACAGAATTTCCTAAATAGGTAACCAGAGAAGGACAACTCAAACAGCGAAAACATGAAACAAAGCATAAAGCTGTAAAAAAGTCTGAATTTTCAGGAAACTACAAGATCTTGGGATTAACTAGGGCAAAGGGAACATATGGCGGGAAGTAAGGCAGAGAGGATGAGGCAGGGTTGGATCATATAATGCCTCAGGGAATCAGAATCACGTTCTGTTCATTCACTAATTCAAAAATATTTATTAAGAACCTGCCAAGCACTTAGTAGTTGCTGGTGATTCAACTATGAACAAGACAGACATGATTTCTGCCTTGCCGAGCTGACATTTTAGTGGGGGATACAAAAACAAATAGACAGCAAATTATAGAAAATTCTATGGCAGAAACAACAGGGCCTGAGATAGAAACAAGGAGGTACTTATTCTTCATAGGGTGACCAGGGAAATCCTGACGGATGGGAAGGAACCAACCATGTAGGATTAGGAGAGAGTGTGTTCCAGAAGGAGGAACAGCAAGTGTAAAGTCCCTGAGATTGGAAAGAGCCTGACTTATGCAAATGACTAAAAAGATAGATTGAGGAGGAGTAGTAAACAGGAATGCCTAAAATCTATACAAACTGTAGACTAGAGGAAGTCTGTAGATTTCCCCCTTCTCCCAATCTGATAGCAGCATTCACCCTTTGTATACAGTTGATGCCAACATCGATACCTCCAACTTGGACATCTATTCAAGTCCCTGACCATTTGCTGCATTTAGATATCTCAAATTCAAGTTCAAAATCAAAATAGTTATTTTCCTTACCCTTTATCCTCCCTCCTCACGT